GCAAAAAATTGAATTTTAAAAATTCAATTGAACAAGTTTGGAAGAAGTTTGTAGATCAAATAGGCAAAAGAACGTATCTACTAGGGATGTTAATCAAACTTTTACTTGCTCTAGTTTGAAATCAGCCCCAAATATGAGGGCTACCGTTGTCGGAAAAAAACCTAGTTGAAAGTTTAAAAAGTTTTTGCACTTACATTGAGGCAATGAAAAGTTTTATGTTTCAGGATGACATGAATACTACAAAAGCTTCTAGGAATTGAAACGGAAACTCTAGAGTTTTCTGAAGCTATAATGCAAAAATATTGAAATATAATTAATTGATTTACAACTATGCAATGCGTACTGTGGCTCCTGGTCGTAGACGAACTCCTAGTAGAACTTAATAACAGAAAATTTTATACCCAGGTTACTCAGATGATGTAACGGCTATAGTCATGGAGAAAAATTCACAAACTAGTTCTGCGCAAAGGCAAATCGAGGACTTAAAATCGTGGAGGACTGGGTCAAAAGGGCAAACCTGAGTGTCAACTCTGAGAAAACACCAATGGTTCCCTTCACGAAAAGAAAAAATCTGGACGGTCTAGTCAATACAATTCGTCCGGGAAGTCAAATATCTAGGGATTATCCTGGATGCAAAACTAACTTGGAATGCGCATACTGAATACGCCACCGACAAAGGTAAAATGCCGCTAATGGCCACCAAAAGAGCAGTGGAAAAGACATAGGGATTTCTACCCGACATGAAATATTGGATTTATAGAGTAGTGGTAAGACCCAGAATAACCTGATCAATAGTTTGGTGGTCAAAAGTCGAACGGAGCAAAGCAACAATAGAGTTATCCAAACTTCAAAGATTGGCTTGTCTCTGCATTATGGGTACAATGAGAAGCACTCCAAGTACTGTTACTAAAACCATAGTAAGCTTCCCGACACTGTTGATATCATTTTCAAAGCTGAGGGAAGAATGGGGGCCTACAGACTCGATTGTGGCCAGAACTGGAATCAGAGACGAATATCCGGACATGGCAGGATAACATTAACCGAATTTTCCCGACGAATGTAGTTTATCAATAGTTCATCCAAGGACGAACCATAGTTATTCTTGTGACGTCATGAGTTTGAACGCTGGCTTGACGTTGTGTTCAAGCTTCCGGCGTACTACGTTTAATATAACGTCATGAGTTTCTCGCGAAAGCGTTTGTGTTCATGAAATCATGGAAGTAGTTCCTCGCGAAAATTCGGTTATTGTTACAAACTCAATGTTTGAGATGAGAAGTGACAACATGACGCCGAGAATAAACAGTCACAAACCATTTAAAAACCAGATTAACTGGGAAAACGAAACAGAAAACTTACTAGTCCAGAATCCAGAATGGAAATTTATAGTATGGTAATGGCTTCAAAACCGACATCGGGCTTATCCCCAAGAGCAAAATGGGTTTATCCACTGGGGAAGCATACCACCGTATTCCAAGTCAAAATACATATAATAGAGATATTCCTGCCAGAAAATCTGAGAAGGGTGGTACTACTACTGGTATAAAACACCGAGGCAACACCACAGTAAGGCAATGATGAAATATCCTACGGCAGAATTAGCCTCTGAAATTATAAAACTCACAAGTAATCAGATCAGGACTTCTAAATGGTCACTGTACACTGAGAAAACATTTACACAAGATGGGTATCTACCACATCTGTAGACTGTGCGAGGAGGACCAAGAATTAGCCTCTCACATCTTATTCACTGGAGAACTCGACACCTTCTGAAGGAGGAGCCGATCCTGAAGAAGCCAAGAAAGAGGAAACTGCACCTGGCGAAAGTGTCAAACCTATTTTAGCAGAAGCTTACACAGCTAGTCAAACGTACAGTGAATTCCTATGATTTATACTATAGCATTACTTATGAGAATATCGTTGGCATCTCTTGTGAACTTGTCTCTCTAAGATGATATGCTGACGACCTAATAAGTTCGAAACCGGAATTCAAGTTCTCTCCATTATCTTAGAGAGCAGAAGCACACGTATTGTGTAATCTGGCCGTAACTAGAATCAATAAAAACTCATTGTATGCGCATTGGTGCTACGATTAAAGACTTGGGTTTTTTTTCCCAAGGAAACCCTCTTTCAGTTTAATATTGAAAGAATTAATAAGACCATTGAAGACTGAAATTCAAGATTGATAACAACGTTTACGAGCAGTAAATGGGTTTTGAGATCTAGAAGCTTTTCCAATCTTGGTATCAAATATCCCAATACCTAGTAGTAAATGGGAAGATAGAAGGTAGCAATAAGACCCATCATAGCATACATAGTTAGGACAAGATCAAGAAACAGCAAAAGATTCGAACGCATGAAATCAAAATAGTGAGAAACATACACAGGGAAACATGGCACGACAGAAATATATTAAGTGAACGACAGACCAACAATAAAATACATAGAAGAATAACGGATAATACATTAATTAGCATTAGAATAACCACATAAAGCGAAATGTAGGGCACGTGACTTGCAACGAGCGCTAAATTCAAAATCCGGTGGGAGAAAAACTCAGTGGTTAGAAAGATCGCCATTTATTCATAAAGGTCCATATATGGGAAAGTAAGAAAATTAAATTGTGGAAAGCTTTGAAAATCAACGTTTGGAAGAAAATAGGCATTCCCCATTAACTTGAGTCGAAAATAAACACTAGGTACAAATTTCAACCTACATCTATTTTGGAGCGACGGGTTGTTACAAAACGTGGGCGTCTAAATACAAATGCTTTTGCCTTTAATATAGAGCAATATGCTACGTATGTTCCAGTGATTGTAAACATATTAGCAGGAGGTGAAGGATTTCTCGTCTGTTTCTAGATCCAGCACAGTTGGTCATTCGCTGCCAATAAGATACAATACTTTACAAATAAAGTAGGTACTTTTCGTGATAGGCAAATTATTTAAAGATCTGCGATTATCCCTAATTTTTCCTCATTGAAAAACAGACATTTTTTTGCATTACATAAATGCGCCCAAAATTATGGCGCTTTAAAGTTAAGCTGTAGTATACTTAAATGCTTATGCTTTTGGGAGTCGGGTTAATAATAATAGTGTTTCATTCAATTGGCTTTAGGGCAAGCGTTAAAAAAACACCAAAATGAGGGAGGCAAGCCAATTTCTTTCATGAATAAACCGTAAAAAATGCTCTATTAAAAATCTTCTAATCGCAATTTTAAAATTTAATAAACAAAAGCAATTTCTGCTTTCAATCAATCCTCTCAAGTTTCCTAATTAAAACAGCTGAAATTCAAATTATTGAAGCATCTGGAAAGTTTTCAAAGAAATAATTTAACAAAAAAAACAACTTGTTTTAATTGAGCAAATCAAATGAAATATAATAGATATTTATTTTATTAGGAGTATAAGTAATACTTATGTGACGCGCATGGAAGTTTGGACGAATCAAATCCGTTAAGCGTCACATGAAGAATACTTATACTCCGAATAAAATACAATATTTTATTTTCAAACAATCTTTATTTCGAATAGTGCAGAATTTTTAATTTAAATAATGAAATTCATATTTAGAAGGATCCCCTTTATAAGCACCTATACTTGTATGTACAGGAGGTAAACTACCTTAAATCGCTATGGAAAAACATGTGTAACGGCGTATAAGTCTTATACTCCGGCGGAGTATACCACTTTTACGCCGCTCAAGCTGAAAGTCATTGAAGTGACACTTATACCTCAAAATGATCACAAAAATTACTGTTATATGTCTTTTGAAAATAAAAGTACTTTTTACAATAAACCTTGTTTTAGACGTTTTTATCAGGTAATTAATTCCACGTTTAGATTTGCTGTAATTTATTACGGTTATGCCTGACGGGGAGTTTGAAAAGAAACGTATGCAAAATAGGAATATGCTGTGAAATGCTCGCCGTTAACCCAACCGTAAATTTCCAATGTTACGTACAATTAACATTTCCCTGGTAAAACGTAAATTAGTAAATCTTTGCTAAAAGGATCATTTACAGTGGTTTACTGACTTTCAACTCTGGAATTAAAGGCAATATGTTAAGCATGAAAATGTTAGGGGGTTAAAAAAATATGTCTATTCATAACAAAAAGCCCATATTATGTTCTATCAGATTTTTCTCAATGTGGACCCTTTTTTGGAATTTTTTAGATATTCAATATCCGTTTAATATGTGTAAAAGTAATATCCATTGGACAAAAACTGCAATGATAGGGCTTTCGAAAAAATCCGCTGTTGAGTCTGGACAGATGAAAAAGCAGTTTTAATTAAAATTCACAATAATATAAGCCGCGCTTAGCTTCGTCTCTCTATATCCACGTTCTTGTATGGACTTAATTAATATGGACTAAAAGTATTAAAGGAAATTGCTATTAGGTATAGGCCTATGGATTATTATTCATGCTGCATGTCATTGAAATGTTTTAAAAAATTTATGAGGCAGGACCTACTCATGAAATAAAAAAGCTTGAAGGACCTTAAAAAGAATCTCAATATTTTTTTGATACGATTGATAGGCCTTGGCAGTATCCCAAGATCACCAATTCCTAATTATCTAGATTTTTACCTGCTGCCCCACTTAGAGGCTTTGGCTCTGAATAAATCAATTATTATTGAAGATAATTGATTGTCAACTGCTTAATCAAATTTCATATTAGACTACATTTACGAGAATTGATATCATCGATTAGCAAAAGTATAATATTTCGGCATTTTTTTTGTAGAAATGCCACCATTATTGTCAATGAAGTTCACGCTTATCGGCTCGGGCCAGTATTCATAGATCAAACCGGGTTTGGACCGGCCAATAGAAGATATTTTTCATCGCTTCTACCCTTTCTGGCTGATTCAAAAGCTAGTTTACCTCTTCATATAATATGTTAGGCAACCAAATTATTATCGGTTTTAAAACAATTAGAAATGATGTAGTGCGAATACAAAAGATGGATTTTTGAATACATTTTTGATTGTGTACTTACTCGAGGGGTCATGTATCCATCGCTTCTTCTCTCCGGATTTAATCGTTTTTGTTTCATCCTGCAACAAAAAATCAGAAGTATAAAAAATAACAAGCAATTTGAAATTGGCAATTTTGCGCATATGGCTCGAAATGAAAAATTAATAATCGCTTATTTGATTTCTCAACAAATCTGTTAATAGTATGAAAGATTAATTGTGTGCAATAAAACCGGAGATTCGTTCGAAGTATAAAGCTTCGTACCTTAACGTGGCAGAAGCTCCCCGCTGTTTCTTTGGTTGCCTATCTTGCACGAAAATGTGCGCATGTACATTGTACATGGAGTACTGTTGCCCCCTTAATATAAATTTTATTGGTTAGGTCCTCCAAAAGGAAGAAGTAAGAATAAGGTATTCTGTTTCATGACGTGTGATGTAATAGTGCTAGTTTCGTCGTGAGTCTTGTTTTTCTATCTTGACTGAAGCTAAATTTAATTTTACATCTGCATGCCACGAAAATCCAACACACTTTAAGCTAAATTTATTTTGAAAGAAATAGTCTTACTTTTTTGCGAACCCACTTACGTAATTGGTGTCAGAAGTGGGATAAGAGAGTGAAGAAATGTTCATCCATGGTGAAAACGTGACAACAGACCCAATGAAAGATCGAATGAAACAGGTGGTCAAATCAATAAAACTTGCGGAAGAGAAAAGCGAAAAAGCAAAACAAGCAGAACAGGATCGCTTCCAGAAATTTTTTTCAAGATCACGGAAAACGAAACACAAAAAACGGGAAGGCGAACATGACTTAAAGTAAAATAGGAATTAAGGAAAAATATAGGAATTGGTGAAAGCCTTTACCCATAATTTTACCCTGGGCAAATCATCCCACCCTTTTTTTGATGAATATCAAAATTTCAGATCCCAATCTCTTAGTAGAGCAGATGACCCTAAAGAATTTTCAAATTATATCTATGCTTCTAAATTAAGTAGTTATGAAAATATACAGAGGGCCTCATATCTTGAAAAGGATTAAAAGGAATAAAAAATCGAAAACAACAAACACGTATCTGTAGCAAACTCCAAGAACGGTAACTCTTTGTTAATAGAACCAACTTCATATAGTTTGTCCGTCTTGTAAGAGACGCATAGTTATCGTTATCGGTAAGTTCCCAACGTGTATACCAAAAATTGTTGATCTAGGTTAAGCCGTTATTGAGCTAGGGCGCCAACAGTCCGACTTGAGAAAACATGATTTTCATTATGTATACTAAACACCCCAACTTCACATTCTACAATCTTCAAGAAAAGGCAAAATAGAGAGTGACTGAGAAAGAGTCAAATGCGGAATAGGTACTGCGTGCGCGAAGAATCCGAGAATATAAGAAACTGGAGAATAAGATGGAGACAATTCGCGATGAACCCAACAACAAAAGCGGTGTGTCGGCCAAGTCATACGAGCAACTTTCACAGGCGAAACGTACTGGACGACTTAACGTCTTAACGATAGTTTGAGTTCGATGCTGCAAATGGTTTGGATGATGACTTAAAATTCTGAAGAATATTCCTAAGGCAAAACAATGTGATTATGGAGCTGTTGTTATTGAGGGCTGACGTAGGGTAACAGATATTTCAGTCAAGCAGGGGCGGATGGGCAACTTTGAATCGGCCCGGGACGGTTTTTGCTCAAGCGGCCCCGCGCACTCACAGGAGGTGAATAACACTGGATAGGATATTAAATAGTCTCCTTTTTTAGAAAAAAAAAAAACCTCCTTATATTACTCAAAAATACGAAAGTGTAGAGCCATGCTGATAGGTATTGTAAAATATTTTCATGTCCTAGTTTACACTTTTTCTGTTTAATCAGACATTACCAAATTTAAGTACCGCAATTTGGGTTAGTTCGCAATTTTATTCAGACATTACAGGTCTATGTTTATTTTTCGAAAACAAAAATTGCGATTTTTTTTTCCGAATGCTTTCATTTCAAAAATCAACCATTTGGAACATATTGACTTTGAATAACTTCTTTCGAAAATGAATAATTTTGAAGCATGTCCAAACTAACCGGGTTATTATTGGTAATGTCTGATTGAAATAGCAAACTAAACCCCAAACTAACCAGGAACATCGGTAAGTTTAAAAATGTCTGATTAAAATTGAAAACTAACCCAAACTAACCGGTTATTCTCGGTAGGTTTGAGTTTGGTAATGTTTGATTACAATAGATTTCAAACTAACACAAATTTTGAAAACAAAATGGTTATGTTCGATTGAAATTGCAAACTTACCCAAACTAACCGGGTTATTATCGGTAAGTTTGGTAATTTCTGATTGAAACTGCAAACTAACCCGGATTATCATCAGTAAGTTTTAATGTTTGATTACAATTGCAAACTAACCCAAACTAACCGGGTTAGTATTAGTAAGTTTGAAAATATCTTATTGAAATTGCAAACTAACCGGGTTATTATCGGTAATGTCTGATTACAATCAGTGCCGGCCCGAGCCTACTTTCAGGATGGAGCGAGATCCGACTTTGGCGTCCCTCTCGGCGCCCCTAATTAAAATGTGAATCTTTTGCATATGGATTTTGACCATTGTTATACCTAGATGTCTCTAACTATCTTATCAATTGAAATTTGAAAACATCCATGTTCATTGGTATCAATGGTATCGATAAAACCAAATAAGAAGAAGCCACCGCGTGATCTTTTGTCTCACATCAAATGGGAGGGCCTCTAAAAAATTTGCCTTCTTCTTCAGTGATGACGTCAGGGGCTCTTCTTAGTTGGTTCTAACTATACCGTCTATACCCACTTTTTTTCTTTTAAGAGTTGATTTAAAGTAGACACACAAATAATGGAAATTTCTACGGTAATATCACTTATCAACACTCAGGCACGATTTATTCATCTTCACATAAACTTACTCTTAACTATCTCCAAGATAGATATCAACCTATAATCTATTGGTCGGCAAATAACTAGCCGACTAATGGAATTGCAGATACAGTTTTTGTCCGTCAGATTGCATTAGGTACCTGACTCTGACAGTTTGTTAGAAGGTGAATAAACCGGCTCTTATAAATATAAAAATCGAACCAGCAAAATACAAAATTGTAGGTGAGTCGCTGTTTGCTCATTTTTGCATTTGCAAATTTGTTCATAATCCTCTCATATAACAATTCTGTGCTATATGAGTTTCAATGGACAGCAGGGCTAGATCAGAAAGTATGTTTTCTGCTAGAATTGACTTAAGGTATGTTTTAGTTATGTTAAGTTTAAGTGGTAAGCTACGTTCACCCTTTCGCCACAAGATTGGCTACAAAAATAGGGAGAGCTCGAGTCGAGAGCTGTCTAGATATTAGGAAACGTATATTGCCAATTATTCAATGCTAAGTTCTGGAGTACTGAGAGGTTCTTCAACCACAGATTTTTTTTTTTTTCAGGGTTTATTCATTCTTTTATGAACTGTCAGGTAGTGCAATCTGACGAACAAAAATGCAATCTGCAATCCTGTTGGTCCGCGTTATCCATCGACCAATAGAAATAGATCGGTGAATTTATCTTGTAGACAGTTAACAGCAAATTCTTCTTGAACATCAATAAACCGGCCCTTAAAAGTTCTAATCCCGAAATATTGTGATTATGATCATTGATCATGTAGGGGCGACGCCACGCACACGACTTCTGCGCGTCATAAAACAACGTCGCAACAGGTTATTCAAGTGGGATTCACATACTAACTACACGCTTGCTCGCAAGCAGAATCGCAGAACTGCTTTCCAGTATGCACATTGGCGCGCTTTAGAGCACCCCGGGAACGCCACACACTAGATTTCACATGTCACACCGTCATGACGTGTGACGTTTGTCCGTACGTATAGCTCAACGCTCCGAGTAGCTCCGAGCGTCACATTTCCATACTGGAAAGCGGCTCAGATAGCAGAATATCGAAAAGCGAAGACAGGATTCACAGCAAAAATATATTTTTCTCTTTTTTTTATCACCAAGGAACGAATCGGAGGCACCCCCGGGGTCTGGCGCCTGGAGCGCTCGCTCCGTTCGCCTTATGGTAGGGCCGGCCCTGATTACAATAATTGCAAACTAACAAAAACTAACCGGGTTATTATTGGTAACTTTGATTATGTCTGACAAAAATTTCGAACTTAGCGGGTTATTATAGGTAAGTTTGGTAGTGTCCTCGGTAATATCTGATTGAACAGAAAAAGTGTATAAGTTTACAGAGAAAGTATAAATTTACAGAAAAAGGGTAAATTTACAGAAAAAGTCTAAATTTTAATGAAAATATTTTCCAGTATTAGATGGCAGTTCAACGCCTTGTGAAAACGACAAAAAACGTTGACTGCTTTCTGTTGAATTGGCAGAGTGTTGTCGCATTACGCCTTAAGCGATTTTTTTTCTATCAAGTTCCGGCGTATTGTTTGTTATCGTTTTTTTTTTTCCTTAACCGGCCCACTTGGCTCTCCGGCCCACCGGGAATCGTCCCGGTGTCCCGCCTGAGCCCATCCGCCCCTGCAGTCAAGCGTCTTATAGCCATAGCAAAGTGCAAGGTCTGTAGGAATTCAGTAGTAAAATCGAGACAATGGCCAGGTTGGCATATCGACAAGAACCAAGTCGCCAGAAAAAAGCATTGGGAATTTTGCGTGACCGGCTAGCAAACAGACAACGACCTATATAGCAATAAATTTTCAGTATCGGTCTAACGGTAAAGGGATACTAAATCCAATGGGATTCGTTGTGTTACCAGATAACTTTAAACACTTGTAAACGCGAGAATTTGTATAAGAGTCTAGTATATTAGACCGTTGTGCCAAGAACCATGAGGAAGAGGCTGCTACGTAAACTGCACAGTCGGAGTAGTGGCCACTTTGGTGTTAATGCGACGTTGACTCGAGTGAGAGGTCGCTACTACTTGTTCAACTGTCACAGGGATATTGAAGAATGATGCAAAAGATGGGGTCTCTGTAACATCGAGGAAAAATGAAGCAGAACTTGTCTGGTTCCCCCTGGGAGCTAATTGCGGTAGATATTGTGGGTCCTTTTCCTACATAACCG